TTAGACAAATACCTAAAAAACTCACTTGCTAAATGAGACCTTTGTTTGCATCTCTTTTCGATAGGGCTAATGAGGTTTTGGTTTAGTGACCAAGGATAAAATCTCAAGAAATAGAAGTTTTGGGTTCAAATTTCGTTCTTCCCAATCCTCCACCCCTCCTCTGCTTGAAGAGAAAAGGAAAAAAAAAAAAAAGAGAGAGAGAGAAAGAAAAGGACAAGGTTCTTTACGTATACAAAGGGCAGAAGGAGAACTCAGAAGCATAAAACGCACAAGTATCAACCGTAGCTTGGCTTCTTCCAAAGGATCTCTGAGAAAGGCCGAGACAAAAGAACCAGGCTTTGGTTAGATATACTGCATCTAAGAAGCAGCAGCTGTCAGTTCCAGAAATAACACAATGAGAAATTAAGATGTCCACGGAGACCATTTTATTGTCACAATGTGGCAAACCAAGAGAGGGAGTTACAACATGAAATCGCTGATTCATTTAGCCAAATGAAGTTTAGCTAGAATCATGTCATTCACAGCAGCCAAATGAATTTTTTCAACTCTGATTGTAGTCAAATGAGTTTTTTGTACTGTGACTGCAGGGAAGGAAAGACCATCTAGTCTTGCGAAAAGCTATTCACAGACATTTTGCCTTCTGAAGGCTGGGAGAAGAAAAGAAACCAATAAAGGCCATCAAGATTCAGCTCCGGCGTCAGCACTGGCAGCATTTTGCGCTTCCAAAAGCTTCATTTGACGTTCTGCATGTTCTCTTTCACAGGCACTAATTCCCATGATTATATCAAGCATGGTACCTGTCGTGCCAAAGAAAACAAGGGGTGCCAAAGATTTTCGTTTTATTCCCACTGGAATTGCAAGCAAGGCACCAGCAACTGAGAACACCCATGTACCAAGTGCACTGCATACGTTTATGTAATATCAAGGTCACAACTGGACAATCTACTCAAAGAATCGCACTAGCCACACACTAGTCATACAATATTAAGTATATAACAGAATAAAGTCAAGATATTTTTTAACAGAAGTTTCAAGCAAATGAGCTTAATATCTAGCAGAAATGACACTGGTTTAATTCATTCCATTCATAGCTACAGCAGCATAGTTTCACTACAGCAATTACATGTTTGTTGATATGCAATGCTAATAGGTAATTTTTTTGCATATTGCATTACCACTGAAGAACAATAAAGAACACGACACTGCCTCATTTACGGACTAGCCTTACCCAATTAGTTAAAAAGAGTGATTGATCCTTCCTTTTCTACAGTTCTTTTAAAGGCCTAGATTGACAAGAAATAGTCCATCACAAGGGTTCAAAGCAGTCAGGCCACTGTTAAAATCTGAAACAGATTACAATGAGATGCCATGCTTTTCTACAGCAGAAACTAAAAGACATGTTATATATGATAACAACGTATGTGTACATTCTCTCTCCTAAGTCTATCACATGCTTTATCATCCTTGTGGATTTAAGATCAACAAAAAATCGAAAAAACTTCCAAATCTCCAGAATTGGGAAATAAATGAAATTGCAGTGTCACAATGTCAAATGTCATAAGATGTTCCTCAAAAGAAAACAGAGAACAAATCATAATAAAGAAATGAGAGGAAAGATGAAGCATATTCACCTATTCGCTCAACTTATGATGAAGAGAACTCATTATAAGAGGCTGGGGCATGATTTCCCATCAGACTCTTTGCTTTTTAAATCCTTAGGCATTTGATGGCAAAGAGAAAATCATAAAATACTCTGATGAAGAAATTTCCAGGACTTACCACCCCAAGTGCATCTAATCAAATGTTCGGCACACGCACACAAAAATTACATAAGTGCATCATGACTAAACAGATCACTCATCCTCACACAATAATCACGAATCCAGGAGAATGTAATTGTCAAGACTAAGCAAACTGAGATATTAATAAAAAACAGTGAATATGCAAACCTAGATAAAAAGCTCCATAGAGATTTTTAAGCCAAAAGAGTTCAACAGGATAATGTAAATCACTCCAACTCCAAGAGTGACAACCATAGCACAGTTCAACTGCTAATTTACCTAAATGTTCTCTCAACATGAGTATATTCAAGTATGGAGGAAAAAAATGCAAAAAAGACCAAAGTTCATCAATTCATGAAACTTCTAAACACTATTATCAAGGTGTCTGCAGTTTGAGATTAGCCACATTTATGAAAACAAAATAGAATTTTACCTATATAAGGTCCATAACTTTCCCGAAATTTAACCATCAAAATGAGATTAAACAAATATATTGCACTAATCATCTCAAAATAATGGCATAATACAGATTGAGTTAAATCATTTCAGCCCTTAGCTCAAATCAGAAGCATGAAACCAAAGATTTTTACTTGGAAACTGAGCACTCCTCAAGTTGTTTCACAGTCTCCTGTCCAGCCATTCAATTATAAAACCAGTACTTCCTGTACTCAAACAAGAACCCTGCATCATTACATATATTAACACAAAGAAAAAGAAAAATAAAATCGACCCATTTCCTTTGAAGTGAAAGGGTCGATGAAAAACAAAAACTTTGATCAAGAATCGGAAAAAAAATTCGCACATCCATGTATTACAAGGCAAATAGGAGTACAAGAATAAGGGACAGCATACAAGGAAAAACACAAAAATTAATGCATTACCTGGCTAAACGAGGATACAAGCTGATGGAAATTTGAAGTTAATTTGATGGCATAGATGATTTAGTGAAGGAGAAAACAGGAGGGAGTTGATTTGCTTCAGCAGGTCTGACAATGGGCAAGGGGTTTAGGAGTACCCAGGACGGTAGATTTGTGATTTTTAGGAAATTGCATATTACACCCCTATAGTATCGAGCCATTTTTATTACAGCCCAGGTGTAAAGTCATCTTTTAAAATTTACTATTTCTTTTTTTCTTTTCTGAATCAAAATTTTCAAATTCTTGGGTTTTATTGGTTTATCGCCAAAAGAACAAAATAGAAATAGCTAAGTACCTTTACCCAGCATTTGTGTCAAAAAAGATGAAAAGGAAAAACATAATTTGTTATATAAACTTATCTTTTTTTCCTCAAAATTTCAATTGACTATTTCATTGATAATTAGCTCTGTGATCATCGTAGAAAATCTGAAAAATAGGCATCTTAATTTTTATTGCTATTCCTATCAATCATCAATTTACTCTCTAAACATTGGAAAGGCCAAATAATTTTCCTAACGACTTCAAGATTTGTTACATTAACTACTATTAAGAAATGGACCTCTCCTTTTCTCCACCTTCTCTCTACTTCTTCTTGTCTTCTTAAAATGCTTTCTTTTTTTGGGATCCCTCCCATAAATTTCATTTTATTGTACTTTTCAATAAAGTCTCTCCTAATTTTTTGAGTAAGAGTCCTTTGTTTCTCCTAGGGTTCTTAATGAAAATTTTCTATTTTTCCTAGAAGTTTCTAGTCGGAATTTTCTGTTTTTATTCTTATTTTATTGTTTGATCTGAATTTATTTCAGATCTCGAGATTTTTTGGGTATTGGGTCTATTTCAACCGACCTCATTATCATTATTGGAGTATTGAAGTGTGAAACTATTGATTAGCAAATTTGGCGATTGGAAGATATACATAAGATAGCTACACCGATTTATTTTATTAGAGAGAAAATTTATTACAAGAAAGTTTTCTTGTATTTTTCACATCATCTAAATCTACTGTATCTGTTGTTAAATTGCAAATTTGTTATTTCAAATGCATGTTTAACTTGCTACTAAGGCAGAGATGTAAATCAATTCTAGATGATTGAAATTTGCTTTTTATCAAAAAAAGAAAAGAAAAAACTACTATTAAGAAGTGGAGAACTGCTTTTGTAAAGACCAACTACTTTTGCATGAGATAGGAGGTAGTAGGCATCATCAAATGGTGGATGAAGACATTATTCATCAAAATCCATAAAATGGTGGAGGGCATGTGGATGAAGACAAGATTTAGAGCCAATTGTCTACTTTGGGTTTTAAAAAACAAGGCAGAGTCTAGATTTTCGGAGTTGAATTTTCCATGAGAAGACAAACAAGTAAAGAAAGCAAGAAATTCTAGTACTAATAATATTGGATTCAATATTGGAAGCACATTTTTATGTGACAATATAGACAGGCCGGCCATAAAATTTTCATTAGTTATTTTCCTTGTTATTATCTCCGTTCCCGCGAGATGCCCGTGATATCCTCGGCCGGACTTCATCCATACGAATTTTAGTTGTAATTTTGCAGAAGATATTTACTTGTCTGAGTTTAATGTTTGAAGAGCTAATGTTATAGTTCAGTCAGATCAGGTGGAGGTTAGATATACTTCATCCTTGAATTCATGTTTCGAACTGTTGTTAGTATTATTATTATTCTTGATCAAAATTAGATTTCTGATCAGATGAGCAGATGAAAAGTTGAAACTTTCTTGAAAACCTTCTATTACTATGCATTATTTTTTCTTCTCTTTTATTGGATGTGAGCTCCTTGTTTAATCTCTTAACTTAGTTGCAGGAGTTGAAGCATAGCCTCCTGAGCAATTTTTCTTGTAAACTATGAACTAGGAGTTCTGAAGTAGAAGAGATCATTGGAGGGATCATTTCTAACTAAAATTTCAAGGTTAGCCACGTCTTTAGTTGATTATTTTGCAATCAAGATTGGTATTTGTAAATTCAGTATTAGTGATCTTCTAAATCACGTCTTCACTCCAAAGTTGAAGACAGTCCAGAAGCAGTCCTAGATATGCAGGGATCAAGTTTAGCAAACCATACCAATTATGCGCGACACATATCACACTTTACTTGTCAATATTTTAAGTAAATTTAAAAGATTAGTCATGCTTTTTAGATAACTCAGTTTCACAATTATGTGCCCCTTTTTTATTCTTTGCCTGACTTTTCTGCCACACTTTTTTATGTCAATTTATAATAGGTGATTTTCTTCGAGATAAAGGAGCTCTGTAGGGGGATTCTGCTTGGGAAGATTTGTCAAGGAGATGGAGAAAGAGAGTGTTTGTAAAGCTCATGTTATTGTGGTACCGTATCATGGACAGGGCCACATTAATCCAATGGTGCAGTTTGCTAAAAGATTGGCCTCTAAAGGAATCAAAATCACCATAGCTACCACAGCATCAACTGCCAAGACTATGGAACGAACCTCTGATCTATTCTCAGTCGTGTCAATGTATGATGACATTACTGAAGGTGGGGTGGCAGGACCTGGAGGATTTAAAGGTTTTCTTGACAGGTTTGAAGCCAGTGGCTTGAAAAAGTTGACTGAAATTGTTGTGAAATATGAAAATACTGATCACCCCATCAAGTGTCTCGTGCATGATGCTGATATGATGTGGGCTTCAAGTGTTGCGACCGAGCTAGGCATTGCAAGGGCTGCCTTCTTTACTCAATCATGTGCAGCCATTGGTACTTACTATCCAATGCACTGTGACTTGTCAGGAACAGAAGTTCCTCTTCCTGCTTTTGCGATACCGGGATTGCCTGAGGACTCCCCACTTGTCATCACTTGGTTCTGATACAGGACATTATCCTCCATTGATTATGCACATATTACGCCAATCTGATAATCTTGATAAGGCAGATTGGGTCCTCTTTAACTCCTTTAATGCGTTGGAAGAAGAGGTAAGTCTCTTCATCGATTCTTTTCATATCATATTAACTGACACTGAGTACATTCCTTGAATATATTTTGCGCCTTGGTGCTGAAACAATACGGTTCCTGTTTAGTCCTCTGTTTGTAACTATGCTGTTGCAGTATTAGCTTTATCAAATGCCAAGTTTTAAGATGATATCTAGCGAGGATAAAGTGTAGAAATCTCCCGTATGAACTCGACTTTGGCATTTGATATCCAGAAAGTTTCATAATACTTGTTCCTGAGTACATGATTCAAAGCATCTTATAATCGACACTGGATGCAGTTTCTGCACATACAAAAGGGACTTGTGGTTCATCATCATATGTGATTTATTTTCTTATATTGAGTTTGCATTTCCTTTTCTGATGAAACCTTTCGAAAGCTTAAAGAACCTTGCCAGTGTAATTATGTTGATTTAGGTTGTCAGATGGCTGTCAAAATTCTGGCGCGCGAGAACCATTGGCCCAATAGTGCCATCTGTTTATCTTGATAAACGAGTGGAAAGTGCCCGTGATTATGTGTTTAATATTCATAAGCCAAGCACCGGCACCTGTCTGGACTGGCTCAACAAACAGAAGAATGGTTAGATTGTGTATGTGTCGTACGGCAGTGTAACGAGCTTAAGTGTAGAACAGATTGCAGAGACAGCTGAGGCCCTTGAGCATGGCAACAATAACTTTCTCTGGGGGTGGTGAAGCCAACTGAAGAGAGCAAACTCCCAATCAATTTCAAAGAGGAAACATCAGATAAGGGAATTGTAGTGACATGGTGTCCCCAGCTGGAAGTTTTGTCCCATAATGCAGTTGGTTGTTTCAGTGTGTGTCACACTGTGGATGGAATTCAACAGTGGAGGCAATCAGCTTTGGTGTCCCGGTGGTGGCAATTCCGCAGTTTCTAGACCAAATAATCAATGCACATTTTGTGGAGCAAGTTTGGAAGGTAGGAGTTGTAGCTAAGGCAGATGAAAACGGCTTTACTTCTGGTGATGAACTGGAAAGATGCATTGCAGAAGTGATGGAAGGAGTAAGAGGACATGAGATTAAAAGAAATGCAATTCGTTGGAAGGAACTGGCTAAGGAGGCAATAAGTGAAGGGGGAAGTTCTGATAAATGTATTGATGAAATGATTTCTGAGCTTTTGTGAGCTTAACTTTGATTTGGAGATTTGTTGTTCTTCCAGATATGTACATTTTTGTACCAGCAGTTGCCGCATTGGTGATAGTTCCTTGAACAAGTACCAGAATGAATAGAGATCAGATTGAAGAATGGAGATTCAAAAGGACTAAGACGAACAACTGATATAGTTTCTTTGTTTGTTCTCATTAAAACAAATTCTGTTGTTTTTAACTGTTTATCGAGGGGCTTTTTCCCCCCTATGGTATAATGTTTTTGTACATGACCCTTCTATGGTCTCAAAAGTTATACATAATCTTTTCATGATTTAGATTAAAGTGTTAAATTGACGGAAATGATCATTCGTTACGGAACCTTTAAAAATGTCGAGATTACCTTTATTTAAAAATTAAAATAGTTAAAGTGACTAAAATATATAAATATAATATATACAAGACGCACTGATCCTGTATGATTTTATATTTTATCATATAATCCCCTTATGATTTAATGTTTTACCATATGATCCTCTTATACCTTTCAAAATATACATATAACCCCCTGTGGTTAATAAATAATTTTCTACTCTACATAGGAGTATTTTTGACATTTTAAGCGACTCTGTTATGAATTACAAATTCCATTACTTTGACACTTTAATTCAAATCATGAGAGAGTTATGCATAACTTTTGAAACTATAGGGGAGTTATGTAAAAAAAACACTAAACTACAGAAGGATAAAATGTAATTTACCCTTTATCAGATTAATTTTTGGGATATAATGAAATAACATGAATGTTAAAAACAAGTCCAAAAAATTCTAAAAATGAAAAGTTTCAGGACTTTTTTGGTATTATTCAAGACTTTGACAATGTTAATTTATTCTTCCTCTGAATTTGAGGGAAACTACTCTTTTCATCCCTAACTATTAAGTATAGAATTCGAATCTAAATCTAACACTGGGGAAGATTATAAGAGCCATCTCTTGGCACTAGACCAACCCCATGATTCCTTTAACGATGATGTTCACTAAATTTGCAACTCAAAAACTGCAAGGCCTTCAAGTTATCATGATTGTTGCCCTATGTTTACAATATTTTAAAATTTAAGTATGTGAAAACTTAAGGAAATTGGATGAACTGGTCTAAATCAAGAGCAAAGCCAAAAAGGAAGGTCTTCCCAATTGGTTGTTTTTTTTTTTTTTTTCCCTTTTTGTAAGCATGTACATTTCATGCAAAATCCGTATTTCTTGAGGGTTCATCAACTATTGTACTTGTGATGTGAAGAGAAAGCCTACTCATCTAACTCAAACACTGAGGTTTCTCACATTCTTGGAACACCATTTAAGAGAAGCTTAAAAGGGAAAACTACAGATAATTCTTTGATCTAACTCAAACACTGAGGCTTCTCACATTCTTGGAACACCATTTAAGTGAAGCTTAAAAGGGAAAACTACAGATAATTCTTTGATTGGGTTGCGGTCTAACTCTTGTAGCTCCCAAAATTTTACTAAATTCATAGTCAAGTTGAAAAAACAAAAAATTTCTCCCCACCTATTGACTTTTCTCAATTTTCTTGACATAAACAAAGAAAATAACAACTGAAAATCAAACAAAGTAAACATCGTGCATGGAGCACCATAACCACTTTTGTTGACCGATCTTGAAAAATGACCATTTTAAAGTTACATCAATTTTACATGTTAATCTTTTTTCAAATTCTCCCAAGTATATAATTCCATGTCTTGGTCACCTTTTTGGCCGGTCCATCCATCAAAGTCATAGAGTTTGAAAAATTGGCTAGCATGTTATTGTTTAAGGTATTCAATTTGTTCATGTACGCTACCAAAACAATTTGGTAAGTATAAAAGGAACAGAGAAGAAAAGAAAAAAAAAAGATGAGCAAGAGATCACAGTGGAATCCAATAATTAACATAACATATGGTGAGCAAGAGATCACTTGCAAATCTCTATCTTTGACCATGCAAAACAACAATAGTATGATAAAAGTCGGGTGCACTTAAAGATTAATACTCGATTATGTAAGATTGTACATGCAATTTTTACTGTTACTGACGTGATTAGTTTATTAATCATGCTTAGAGATTAGCTGTTAATGTGCTAGTGTGGCACCGTAGCAAATTCCTTTTTCAAAATTTTTTGAGGATGGGAGTGGAGAAGAAATGAGGGGAGATCAGCTAGAAAGTAGGGAGAACAAACCTCTTGCAGAGTTTGATCCTAAGACAATAAACAACTAAAAAGAGAAGAGGAAGAGAAACACAATATATTGAGGTCTATACTTTATAAAGGTTTTAGAACTTCCTTTCATTTGCCCTCCAATCATACTACCATAATTTTCTTTTTCACAATTTTTCTCGTGAGAAAGAAATTAGCTATATAAATTTTATTTTCAAAGAAATATTTCAAATTGAATTGAATCTACCATACCTTAATGCATATACTTTTACTATAACCACTGTCATTATTGTGTGATAGAAATTTAGGGATTAGTGTCTCAAAGAGACCTATAGAATTTGAGTAAATCTTATATACACTGATAGTGTATACACTATCACTGTTGAATTCATGACATGTGTGCAAAATCATATAATAGTGTAAATTTTTTACTAAATCATATGTCTTTTTTTTTTTTCCAAACGATAAGGGGTATAAATCATATGTCACTTAGCATAAAATTTTTCATCTTTAGCGTTCGACCTTTCCATTCAATGGAAATAGATTAAGAAAAAGGAACTTTAGAGATTTTGGGCCGGCTCTATAATAGCACGGACCAAGTTGATGAATCACGAGTTTCATATTATTAACTCATAAAAGCCCAAATGAGATGGTTAGCATGAATTTAGTTGGATAATTCTGTTGTACGTCTCGTTTCTGGCTCCAAGGCCCCATGTGACGAGAGCGTAGCAAAGATGAAATTCTTGCCGATTTGATCATGGGATTTTCCCCTTTTTGTCAGCCGCAAACGGGTCTCTGCGCAATCCTCATATCCTCGGGTTGTGGACTGTTTTTATTTTGCGTACAAAAGTAGCGTACTCATCTAACTCAACACTGAGTCTTCTCCACATTTTTGGGAAAAGAATTTGACTGCATTGCAAGTTTGAGACGTAATGTTGAAAATGAAAAATGCAGAAACGTGAGTCTGATTTCTGCCGATTTGATTGGGGTCAACTCTTCTAGCTCCCGAAACCTAATGATTGAGATAGACGAGTTGAAAGAGAAAAATTTCTCACTTCTCTGGTCACTGGAAAAGAGAATGACAACTGAAAATCAAACAAGTAAACATCATGCATGGAGCACCATAACCTCTTTTGTTGACTGATCTCGACAAATTCAGAGCTCAAAATTAATGGGACTGTGCCTCCCTTGATGGGAGAGCCATGGAGCAGGTAAACAATTGCCATCCTGACAATGATGTTTATTTTGACTTGTTCAAGAGACATCAATTCAAATGAAAAATGCACATTTGTTTCTTTTGCTTGCGTGTTCTTTTATGTGCGGTGCATTGTCAAGATTCTTTCTTCAAATGAAAAACTCTACTTAGCTTTGCAATGTGGAAGACCTGTTACAAATGTTGCATAAGCATATGTTTGGTGCTTGCTCACCCGTCTGTGGCCGTCCATCCTTCAAAAGTCGCAGAGTTTGAAGAAGTGGCTGGCATGTTGTTGTCAAAAGGTGTTCGATTTCTTCACAGACACTACCAGAAAATTTAGTGTCAGGAAATTAAAAGAAAAAAAAAAAGTCCATCAA